GGCCGTGGTGTCATCATAGCTCACTGCAACCTCAAACTCCTGGGTTCAAGCCATCCCTCCTGCCTCAGCCTCCTGAGTAGCTGGGACTACAGGCATGCGCCACCATGCCTGGCTAATTTTTTCTATGTATTTTTAGTAGTCCAATTAATTTCTTTCTATTTTTGGTAGAGACGGGGTCTCGCTCTTGCTCAGGCTGGTCTCGAACTCCTGTGCTCAAACAATCCGCCCGTCTCAGCCTCCCGGAGTGCTAGGATTACAGGCGTGAGCCACCGCGCACGTATAATATTTAACCTCATCCTTTAACTGAGGGCTTTTACATGTGAGGTAAGAAGCCGCCCAGGTGCGCGCCTTCCCGTGTGCGTCCGTGCGAGGGACGCGGTGCCGGGCGGGGCGGAGGTCAGAGCGGCCCCGGGCCGGGAGCGGCAGCCTCGGGGGTCCGGGAGGCGACTGTCCGGTTTCCGTCCTGGTGCCTGGCCGGCTTCTGCCCTCACCTGCGGCCTCACCTGCGCCACGGAAACACAGTAGGGAGGTGAGGGTCTTGCAAGCAACACGAGGTGAGGAGGACGGTGCTCGGGCTCGAGTCGTCTGCACCTGGCACAGGTCCACACGGATCCGTGTGTCGACCCGCATGGACACGCACCGGGCCTCAGTTCCTTGGGCGTTCCATGTCCGTTCCCCGCACTTCCTCCGGGCCAGGCGGACGCGGGCCTGCGGAGCCCGCCCAGCGCCCGGCCAGATGCCCGTGGGCGCGTCACCTGAGCCGCGTGCTGCACAGCGACAGCTCCGCGTGTCGCCGGCTAGACTCGCCTAACGCTCCTGCGTCGCCAAGGAACGGGGCTGGGAGTTGCACTCAGCTGGCAGGCGCAATTTCTCAGTGATTGTGGAATGGTTTTGAATATCAGTCAGCTCAGCGTTAGGGTATTTTAAAGAAATACTGAGCTACGAGCACCGCCTTGGAGATCTATTTAAAATATTTGTCCAGAACAAGGGAACAATTTTAGACCACAAGAAAAATTAACTTATTGCATTAACACGTTGTGGGAGTTTTAAAAGCAATTTTTACTTTGTATTTGTAAGATATTTTAGTGCCCTGAGTTAAATCTTGCTTTTTTTAATCTGAAAGATGTGAGCCAACTCCGGGAAGAATTTGGAGATTGTAGGGCAAGGGACTTGGGTGGGAGGCACAAAAACCTCTCTGTGCAGCCGCCCGGTGGGCCGCGGGCAGTGTGGAAGGCCCGCGGAGGATGCCCATGCTCCCTTTGCTGCTGGAGGAGCGCATGTGCGGCTGTTGGCAGTCCTGTCGGCCCAGGTTTCCACCCTGCTTTGGGTCATCCTGCCCCCGTGGTTGACGGCAGGCCAGGTGTGGTCGTGTTCCTGGCTGGCAGGAATGCTCTCCAGGTCTTGGGGGCAACAGGCCTCTTGAGAAAGTGGATCTGTGGGTGTCTCAGTGTTGGCTGCTGTGGGGACTCGCGTGCTGGAATCCCTGTAGGGAACCAAGGGCAAAAATCTCGCAGGATGGTTTGTGACAAAATGAGAAGAGACCAACAGATATGGGAAGGTTAAGAAAGTGTGAATAGACCCAGAGCGTTGCCTTTGGTGAAAGTCTAGATGTTAAATTTTTTAAAAAAATAAAGATGACGTACAGATAGGACCTGGGCAGATCTAGAAACTCCAGGTCCTGCTCCCCCGGTGGGGGTGGGCAGCCCTGAGCTCTGTTGGGGGGAGACTGCCAGTGTGTGGGTGAGGCCGGCAGAGGGGGTTGGGAGGAGGATGGGGCGTCTGTCATCGCGCCAGGTTTGACCGTCACTGCTCAGCAGCAGCACCTGTCGGCCCAGGAGCGGACACGGGAGGGCCAGGCCGCTGGCACGCTGGACGTACACCTGCTCTTGACGTAGCCACTGACTTGGGCTTGCGAGCATCCACACGGAGAAGGCTCTAGGCTGGGTGGTAGAGCACGCTTCCTCTCAAGGTTGCCCTTGAGAAACCTTGCCCGTGACTGGTATACCTGCCGCTGAGCAGGCAGTGGTGTACCTGGCACGGCTCCCATTAAGTGGGTTGGTTTAAGGATTCTTGACTTTATTGTATGAATTTCTTAAGAGGAACCCTACACTGCTTGTGGCCTGTTTCTGCTTCAGATCCTGCAAGTCAGCAAACCTTCCCGCAGCCCCAGCTGCACCTCTCGCAAATCTGCATGTGTGCTCTGAGCCACAGCCCCGCAGGGTTAAATGACACCCCTTTGACTCACGACTTCAAAGCCAGTCGAACTTGCATTTTATATCTTTCAGTATTTCGACAGTTAAACTTAGATTTGGGTGTTCCGGGTTTACCTCAAAACTTTTAAGAGCTGCTTTAACATAACAAGGAGTGGAATTGGGGAAGTCTCACAGTAGGGACTAAAGACTTGTACATGTTTTCAGTTCAAAAGATCCAGAGGCCTCAGAGAGGGTCTCCTTCCAAGAACGGCTGGGGTGGGCCCGTGTGTGTCTGGACCACCTGACTGTAGTGAGCAGAGTGAGTGTCGAGGGGGAGCAGTGGCATCAGGGACTCGTCGTTGGGGCTTCTGTCTCATTGCTGTCTGGACTCGCAAAGCAGGTCGAAGTTTGGTGGCAGCCTTTTCTGTCTGACCCATGCGTGGCTCAGTAATTGGTTAGCGCTGTGGTGCTCTCAGGGGAGGAAGGGCACCAGGTGACTTGGCTTGGGGTGCTGAGGGGGGCTGTTAGAAGCCCCCACACCTCTGTCCAGGCATCCGTGGCACTGAGTCAGCAGGTGCGGGAAGGAAAGCCATTCCCTGCTGTCTGTGTGGGAACAGCTCTGTGCAAATCAAATCAAGCGTGAATTAGGGTCTGACCCCCAAGTTAGGGCATGAGCTGGAGCAGGACAGGGCAGTGGGCCTGGCTTGTGTTCCCACCCAGCACGGTGGTGTCTTGCCACTAACGTTGAAGGGCAGAGGAAGCTGCATAGCCACTCGCTAACCATTGACAGTGTGGGTCACGTCGACTGACTTCCGCGTGTTCAACCAGCCTTACGTACCTGGAATGAATCCTGCTGGGTCGTGGAGCGCCATTCCTTTTAGAATTGCTGCATTCGATCTGCTTATGTTTTGGTGCTTTGTTTTTTTAATTGAGATAGGGTCTCACTCTGTTTCTCGAGCTAGAGGGCCGTGGTGTCATCATAGCTCACTGCAACCTCAAACTCCTGGGTTCAAGCCATCCCTCCTGCCTCAGCCTCCTGAGTAGCTGGGACTACAGGCATGCGCCACCATGCCTGGCTAATTTTTTCTATGTATTTTTAGTAGTCCAATTAATTTCTTTCTATTTTTGGTAGAGACGGGGTCTCGCTCTTGCTCAGGCTGGTCTCGAACTCCTGTGCTCAAACAATCCGCCCGTCTCAGCCTCCCGGAGTGCTAGGATTACAGGCGTGAGCCACCGCGCACGTATAATATTTAACCTCATCCTTTAACTGAGGGCTTTTACATGTGAGGTAAGAAGCCGCCCAGGTGCGCGCCTTCCCGTGTGCGTCCGTGCGAGGGACGCGGTGCCGGGCGTGGCGGAGGTCAGAGCAGCCCCGGGCTGGGAGCGGGAGCCTCGGGGGTCCGGGAGGCGACTGTCCGGTTTCCGTCCTGGTGCCTGGCCGGCTTCTGCCCTCACCTGCGGCCTCACCTGCGCCACGGAAACACAGTAGGGAGGTGAGGGTCTTGCAAGCAACACGAGGTGAGGAGGACGGTGCTCGGGCTCGAGTCGTCTGCACCTGGCACAGGTCCACACGGATCCGTGTGTCGACCCGCATGGACACGCACCGGGCCTCAGTTCCTTGGGCGTTCCATGTCCGTTCCCCGCACTTCCTCCGGGCCAGGCGGACGCGGGCCTGCGGAGCCCGCCCAGCGCCCGGCCAGATGCCCGTGGGCGCGT